GGTATTACTGATACACAATGGTGAAGGAAAGGACACTTTTTCAGTTTCCCAAGTAAGTGGACAAACTAAATGAGATTAAAATACCTGCATTATCTGGTTTATGAGGCAATTGGTCCTACACTTTTATGAAAAACTTAATTGTGAGAACAAATGTTTTAGAAAAGGACAATTCCAAGAATCTATCAATTTCTAAAGAGAAGGGAAGGGAATGTCCCACAACTTTCACAATCTGTTTATTTCCACAGCTCTCCAAGTTGCCTGGGGCTGTGCTGTGACACAGACTGACCTGGCAAAGGACAGTTAGCTGTGAAATGGATGAAACATTTCAGGAAAGCCTCTAAAAGGCCCTGTATCTGTTCAGTTTCACTAATTATTTCCTCTCTCTCTCTCTAGTATGCAAAAACCACGTTTCTTTACCTCGTTTAGTTCTATTCTGTTCCAAATTGATATAACTTACTATACTTTCTTGACTGTTTCCATTAATCTTTTATATTCAAAAGATGATGACACTGTACTCACGCTGGCTTCTTCACAAGTAAGAGCCGTAGCACCGACTTGAACCAGGTCGTGTAGGGCAGAACTCCTTCTCCTGCCTCAGAGCCCACTTTACTCAGGAAGAGAATACAGTTACCTAAAGTGTCTTCTGTGTCTGCATAGCCCTGAGAGATTTTTTAAAAAGAGAAATTATAGCTTGACTTTATATTTATTGCTTAACTTTTCAATTTGAAAATTAGAATTGTACTGGCCTAACAAGCAACTCATAAATTTATTTTGAATCAGTTGAATAAAATACACACTTTCCAAAATAACCTACATGAGGCAAGGAGCTTAAATAAAACTGTATTTAAAGAATAATATTGGAGGAAAAGAGTTTGGAGGTTCCTCAAAAAGTTAAGTATAAAATTACCATATGACCCAGCAATTCCTCTCCTAGGTATATACCCAAAAGACTTAAAGCAGGTATGCAAACAGACACATGTGGACTAATGTTCATTGCAGCATGCTTCTCAACAGCCAGAAGGCGGAAACCACCCAACTGTCCATCAACAGATGACTGGCTAAACAAAACGTGGTTCATCCATACAATGGCAAATAAGGTTCTAATACATGCTATGCCATGGATGAACCTTGAAAACATTATATTGAGTGAAATAAGTCAGATACAAAGGACAAACATTGTATGATCCCACTTATACAAAATATCTTGAATAGGCAAATGTATAGAGACCAAAGTTTATTAGTGGTTAACAGGGACCGTGGGAAGAGGGGAATGGAGAGTTACTGCTTAGAAGTATTAAGTTTGTTTGGGGTGATGAAAAACTGCTGTTTAAATAGATGGTGGTGATGGCTGCCCAGCATTGTGAATATAATTAATATCACTGAATTGTACGGGTAAAAATGGTTTAAATGGTAAATGTTTTATTACATATATTTTAACAAAACAAAATTTTAAAAAAAGAAGAACAGAGAACTTCCGGAAAGTATAACAACCTTCTTCACACTTGCTGTTTTCTATTTTCCAAGATTCTAGTAGTACCACTTCCCCCAGATGAGGCACTTCACAGATCCTCAGCCCGTCCTCATAGCACAAGGGTAGAATGCTACATACACTACCTACATGCGTGGAACTGGACAGGGAACCTCAAGGCCGAAGGCCTGGGCTCTCTTCACAAAACAGGGTTGTACCTGTGATCGTGCTTCCTATCTCCCCTTCTCATCTGAGTGAGGCAGGGACCTGAACTTCCCTCATTCCTTTATTGCCCAGAAAGAAAGAATTTGTTTCCAAGAGGTTGTTAATCAAGGCATCACTCTAGTCACATATATACACTGATAGAATTAATGAGGCAAGTTTAATTATGTAATGCCAGCTTAAAAAGCACTGTTAACTTTGCCCAAAAGCCTTTCTATAAAGTTGAGTTCTATTTTCACA